TGTTATACATTTGATGATTTATTGAAAAACACATACTTTTTTGTAATCTAAATTCATATTGATGTTCTATTATTAATGTTCCATTATATATATTGTTTTTTTTATTAATGTTTGTCAAAATCATCATTTTGGATAACATATGTTAAGATCGACTTCAACGTAAGTTGAAACATTAATATAAAGGTTGTTCGATTCGTTTTTTCATCATTCTATACATTTCTTTTCAAATAAGGAATTTCGGTTTAATCCGATAAATAGTGAGACACGTATATTATATCATATAGGTTCATTCATGGGAACTATCAAGAGACGCGTTTTGTTTACTTTGATGAAGGATAAGTCTATAAATAATCCCGATATTCTTCAGACTCTTCAAGATTACGTATATAAACGCATATTAAATATTGAAAATATCCATGATAATTATAAACCTATACTTCGAAAATGGCTCTCAAAATTTATATTCATTGTCCGAAATAAGTGGAAAAAATGTAGTAGAACTTTTGATAAATTTCTCAAAGAAAATAATACATGGCTCAATACAGAAATTAAATTACCGGATCGTCCTCCTGAATATTTTACTTCTTCCAGAGATAGTGATAGACCACGAAAGTCTTTCGAGGAATGCGGTCCGAGTGGAAAAAGGAAAAAAATGACAAATTTTAGAAATATGGCTTCAACAAATGAATTAATTCATACTGCAAAACTTAGTGTTCGCGCCGAAGGAAACGATGCAGATACAAAAATAATTGAAGAAGCTCTACAGACTTCTCTAACAAGAACAAAAGAAATGAAAGATATTATGAGGAATAATAAATTTTCACAGAGTCCTGTATCTCTAACTTCAGAAGAAGCTGTTAGTTTATTAGTTGCACTTAATTTATCGAAGCAACAATATACCAAAATTAGACTTATTGCGAAAGAGCATAATGCAGATATCTTTCCATCATATGAAAAATTGTTAGAAGCCAAACAAGTATGTTACCCAGAGGAAAATAGTTTTATTATTGGAGAATCTGTAGAAGAAATAAAACTTCAAAATCTTCTAAACCATACTGCGAGACGCATAATTAAATTAATACAACCTAGCATTGCATCAATTTCATTAGATATTACAATGTTCGAATTGATATCAAAATGGGGATTTGATGGATCATCTAATCATTCAAATTATAAACAGAAATATAAAACAGAACTCGATGATAACTATGTTTCTTACCCCTTTTGCCTTTGAAATTAACTTGTTCTTATTTAACGACGAAAGAACAACAAATTGTTTGGTCAAATCCTGTTCCTTCCTCCACAAGATATTGCCGACCCATCCGTTTCCAGATTAAGAAAGAAACAACAGCACTATCATTGGCTGAGAAACAATATTTTGATGAACAAATCAAAAGTCTAACTCCAACAGTGTGTGCTGTTTCCAACGAAAGAAACATTAATGTGTTTCATCAAGTGGTATTTACCATGATAGACGGAAAAGTATGTTCTACTATCACAAGTTTTTCCGTTCAAAGATGTTCAATATGCGGAGCGAAATGAATAATTTGAATTTAGTGAGAGCTAAAGATATTGACAGAACTACTTTTGAATACAATATCCCCGTACTCTATGCTTACATCAAGTATATATCATACAGTACGTCATTTTTTCATATTTCTTTAGTATTTTTATTTATATGTATGTTACTCTATATAATAAATATGAGTGCAATCTGATCAATCATAAAGGACTCTACGTTGCTGAATTTCGTGATTTAATATACTGTGATATCATATCGTAAATATTAAAATTATAATGATAAACTTTACGACTAACAGTGCTTCGAGAATTTACTTCACTTGGCTTATCGTTTGGACATTCGAAAATGGCAAGCTAAATCCGATTCAGATAAACTTAGTGTACAAGCTAGGAAGAAAAAGATAAGAATTGAATTTAGAGAGAGAACAGGCTTAATAATAGATGTTGTCAAACAAGGTCACGATATAACAAATGATGGGAACACTGCTCGTCGCTTTTTTGCAAACCTTTAAGTTCCGAGATAACTAATATCGATTTTAAATTCCGAGATAACTAATATCGATGAAACTTTAATTTCTCAGTTCGCAACAATTTTGGCTGCTATCTCTTCCGAGTTTCCAATCAATTCTATAGAGTTTCAATCTTATTGTAAAAAAAACAGCTGAGTTATACGTACAATTATATGGCTGGTACAATATGTCAAGTTCGGTGACTCCTTCTACACGGTTCTGATATCATAGCAGCATCTGTATTACCTATAAGACAACTTTCAGAGGTCTCAAGAGTCTCGCAATAAAGACCTTCGAAATTATCGAGAATATCATGCGCGAAAAATTTCGAGGTAAATTTGAATATTTTTCTAGATAGACTTTTGTAATTATTACCAAGAGACAATTGATGCTGAAAACTTTACAATTTTTTTAATTATATCCATAAAGTAAATATACTACACTGAATTAATTATTAAAAAATATTCATCGAAATAACTCTAAATTCTAGAATCGCCACAAATGAAGACTTACTGTGATATTTATTGCTCTCTTCTGATCCTTTTATATCTGGTCGAATGCAGTTAACGAAGAAAAGCAAAAAATTGCCAACCGATGTAAAAAAGTTATTATTTCTCAGTTCTGATGATCCCATATGACACATCTAAATACTATTCAAATATATAATTAAAAATTAAAGAATCAAGTTTGATTTCGATTAAAAACGACTTCATTGTGTTTCTAGAACTTAAAAAATTAAAATCTGATAAATCAAAATTATTACGTTGTTCCGCGATTATTATCATTTCAGACCACTGTGCGCCGTAGCGTCGCAATATATTGCATCTAGCAACTCTGATGATTACTTATCTTGAGATTAACAGCTTTTATCACTTATTAGCGCACCTTCGTTCCCATAGGATTAACGAGTTCTATTTTTA